CCTCCGTGGCTGCACCAACTTTACACCATATCCAACAAGGACATTCTTGGAACAAAAGGGATTTTCGGTGTACCCAAATTATTGAAAGAAAAAGTCCTTGTTAACATTAAGTCTTCCAGTGTTGCTGGGATGGGCACATGAGGACACTTGCATCTTTTTCCCAGCCTCAGGGAGGAGGTCTCTGACCTTTACTCACTCACAGTCCCACCATTGGGGAACCCCAAACCCACCGGCCCACCCACAGCCCAGCCCCTCACCAGCATCGCCCATGGAGCTGAAGATGCTCTCGGTGACACACATGATGGTGTCGGTCGCCTGGTCGTAGCGGCCGATGGGCTCGCCTCGGCTGGCAAACTGCCGCACGTGTTGCAGGAGGTCGTGGAGGGCCTGGCTGACCACACTGGCCGCCGCGCTGACCTGCTTCAGCAGCTCGCTGTCGTCGGTGGCCGCCTGGCAGGCGCGGACACAGTTCTCCACTGAGCGGTCCACGAGCTTCCCTGCTTCAATCAGCTGCTCCTGGCACACAGGGGAGCTGATGGTGGGGCTCACGACCTGAAGCGAGACAGGAGCGGGTCTTGGGTGCTGCGGGATGACTCTGGGCTAGCATTTCCAGCACCTCCTTTCACGCTCTTACTTATAGGACCAGGAATTAAACTAAACCAGTGCAGAGGTTTCTCATACTTCACCATTTCACTGTTTTGGTGATTTTCCCACTAACTTTCATCTTCATTAGTGCTCCATGACCATCGATACTGCTGACTACTTCTACAGAGACGAATCTCTGATATTTACCATTTATACCTCCTCCTCTTAGGACACTCTGAATTGAGTCTTCGGAGCTAAGATAAAAAGACTATGTAAAAGAATTACGTATTTTTATATATCTAGGAATGTACTGTATTTCCTACAACTCTGCCCGATGGTACTTGAAAGAACAGGGGGGTGTTGTCAGCAATCTGTGCTACTCGGACAGTGAACAAGGAAAGCAGGAGGAAGACCATCAATGACCCCTTTGATTGATGCTGCAAATGCTCCCAGACGACTGGAAATGCCAGGCTGAACCAGATCACAGATCGGTTCAATGTTATGTTATCAGGTTGAGAAAGAGATGCCTCCCATCCCGCAGTGCATCGTCTCAGCAAAGACACATGTGGTGGAGAGGAAAGGGCATCTCAAGTCAGAGTGGCCTGAGTTGCAACTGCACTTCTGCTGCTTAGGATCTGGTGGCTGCAATCTACTCACTAACATCTAAAGGCCTCAGTTTCCTCTTCAGGAAAATGGGGATGGCATTGCTGAACGAGGTGACGTACTATGCGGAGTGTGCACATCCTAACGGGCAACCATGAACTTCCTCCTTGTTATCCTCATTCTGATACTGTGCAGTGTAGAAAGGGCTCCCGTGATCTCTGCAGATTGTTATGACCCCATTTGCAATGCTGTACTGCACAGTCCAAGGGCTCTTTGTGCACAGGTGTGAAAAAGACACGGTGAGAAGCCCAAAGGGGAAGCACGGCGATTTGCACGTAGAAATGGCAATTAGATGTAGGAATGTACCACTGCCTGAGGACTTGAGCAAAGAACAAAGGATGAAAGCAGAACTGGACAGCTTGTGCTAAAGTCCTATCATGTCACCTAAAGATATCGAAGCAAACAAGCTCTAAGTCTTAGGCAATTTTTAACACATTCTCCCCTGGGTTCCTCCCAATGACTGGAGGCAGATAAGAGCATGTGACCCCTTATGAAAGGGCCGGGGTGCCAGCTGGCTTACCTTGGCACAGGCCACAAGCTGGGAGGTGGAGAGGGCGCACTGGGTGGCGGCGGCAATCACCCTGTTCTGCAGGACCGTGTCTTCAGCCACTTGGGCAACATTCTTTGCCTTTAGTACCAACATGGCGGCTGCATTGGCAACGGCTTTGGCCAAACTCATTAAAACATCCTAAGAAAAAGGAAACAAAAAATAGTCATTTTTATTTTCCTAATCACCCTTCACAGCCTGAAAATAAAGTGTGGTGTCCACTGAAACATTTTATTAAAGTTTCATTTGAACTTTTTCCTTCAGTACTTAATTTTTCCCACTGATTTTTCTGAAATGCCAAGTTATCCTGAGAGCTCATTAAGGAAGGAGATTCACATCCTAACAACACAACCTTCTATACATTTAGTAGCACAGGCTTCATCTAAAATATGAGGGGAGGGTATAGCTCAGAGGTAGTGTGTGTGCTTAGCGTGCAAGAGGTCCTGAGTTCAATCCCCGGTAGCTCCATTAAAATAAACAAACAAATAAAACCCAATTACCTTCCCCTCCAATTTTTTTAAAAAGTAAAAACTTTAAAAAATATGTTAACTTGGGGGAAGGGCTTTTACTTTAACCACTGATTTATTTTTGTGCATTTATCCAACACTGAGGGTCTTGACCACGTCTCCTGAATACGTGGGAGGTCAGCAGAAGCTGAAAACACACATCCTGAGCTGTAGCAAGGATATCATTCATCGCCTGCATGTCGCCATGCCCCTACTTTAACTTAGAGATCTGTCTTTCGAGTTTCTCCTTTGCACAGGGATCCAAGTTGTCATCAGAAATTCAGCCACATCTCAGCCTCCAGAGGGCAACGTTGAACACGCACAGACAACACCTCCCGCTCAAGAGTCCAGGAATGCTCTGAACATAAGTCATTCTCAGTGCTTTGCAGCAGCCTTCTGGTTGGAGATTCATTATTATGAAAATGGGAAAGGGAGCCTACATAAATAAACCAGCTACAAGAAGACCTCACTGAAGATGTGAGGAGCTCCGAGCCTTTAAAGATCAGTTTATGCTTCAACTCAACAAAAAAGGCTTTCTGCCTGCAGGATGGAGAATCCTATGACTTAGCTCACCTGATTGTCACCCGTCTGTGTGACCTGAAAAATCACCATTGCTACATTTAATTCAATCCTTGGCTTTTAATACTGAAGGTAATTTATTTGGTTTGGAAATGCCTTCCGAAACATATGAGCTATTTTTATTTTGAACCAGCATGTCATGGCTTTCTCCCAGAGGAAATGCGGTCAGAAGTCTTTATTAATTCATCAGATAATGAAAAGCACTTTTGATTCCGAATGCAAAGGGCACCCACAGAGTCTTTACAACACGATATTTTATGAGAAGATATACTGGAAAGATTGTACAGTTCTACACAGAGCAACGACTATATGTTATCCAGGCAAGTGAGAAACCACGAATCTACCAAGCAAGCAGATTTTAAAATGGACAACAATGAAGCAGCCTGAAAGAACAGGTCAGCCCAGTCTTTTTCAGGTCTCTGATACTTACTGGCTGTTCAAGGAAAAAAGCACATCCTATGTACCAAGAGTGGCAGGTGCCTTTGGGATCTGTCTGGCGCTCGTCTGTCACACAACTTTTAGAAACTGTTCCCAGCATGGCCTCCAAAGTTAGTTTCTGGACACCTATCTCAGTGCTCGGTGAAAATAAAACTTGAATATCACAAATGATGAAAAAGATTTTAAAAACAAGTCTTCAAAAGTGGGTCACAGTATTCCTTCACTTGACGGGAATCATAATTTGGTCATGTGGACTCCTGACTGTTCTAAGGGGCTTTGTTAGCCTTATTTAAAGAAATCCAGCTTCTCCTATTAATTTTGTCCCAGAAGAAAAAGAAATACACTTAGAAAAAGGACGTGATGCTATGGTTATAGTGGCTGACAAGGCCCTTGTCAAACTTTTCAACAAGACCACCATTATGCAGCTCAAGTAAAATCAATCTTTGTTAACTCTGGGAACATGCAGGACATTGAGGCCTCGAGAAAAGGCTCTGAGATAGGATCTCAAGCATCAGAAAAACAGAGAGTAAGAAATCCAATGTCAGTAAGTCAGGGGCTCCGCATAGCTGGAGGGGGTTGTAGGATCGCCTTACTGCACTGGTGTTTACCTACAGACCTTACGGAAAGGGGGAACACTCAGGTCAGGCCTTTCCGTGTTCCAAAAGCCGCCGTGGACCCTACCCTGAACTTGAACCTGCTTCCCTAGGCCTGAGTAGAAGCAGACAGTAGGAGGCACCGTTTGCATTTATATGCAATGAAAACAGTGTGTCAAGAAAAAGAAAAAAAGGGAATTCTTTAAACACACACACACACACACAAAGATATATGATGTCTTAAGGAAGAGCTGTGACTTCCCTTTCGATCTTTCCAGACGCTTTGGAAAATAAGTTGACTGCTTCAAGATAATTAAACCTAGTAAACCAAGAGATGAACCTCATATTAACCCAATTCCTAAGTGGGTACCAAGAATTACTACAAAGAATTACCTGTTCTAATGCAAAATGCAAAGGGCCACGCAAGGGGAGTCTGGGGATCCGGCTAGGGGGAAGTCAGGTTGGGGACACAACTAGCTTGAGTTTAGTGGGATATACTTATGTGGTCTGCAGTTAATTCTGCTCAGAGTTAAGTTATTACTAACCATGCTGGCTCCCAGGAATGGCTTCCAGAATACTCCTACCACCCACCATGGGTCTCAGCCTCCATCATCACGCCGCACTGCACTGAAGGTCTCATTGCACTGCAGGATATGAATGAGCCCTAGGGCTCTGGCACCCCAGGAATGCAGAGAGCGGAGGAGAAAGTGCACGATCCATGCATCACAACATACATCATCGTGTCTTAGTGCAACTGACATGTCTCGTGGTGGGGAAGGCTGGGAGTTCTAGACAAAACAGTATGCAGAACGGCCACCCAGGAAGCAACTTGCATGTGCAAGGAAAGCTGAATGACCTTTTTATTCCGAATTCCGCAGAATTTTCAGTCAGCTTGACAAAGGATTTGGGAAAAGGCCTCTGGCAGAGAACCTGGGCTCGAACTGTAACAGTTTAATTAGAATGTATTTATATATTACTGGTGAGATTAAGACTTAGGAGGAGGAGGAAGAGGAGTGAAAGGCATCTGCCCACAAGAATGTGAGAAGGGGAGCTCCCCTCAGCCTGAAGGTCCCCGACAGAAGGCCTCTGCCCCCATCTGCGGGGCCTGGGAATGGAGGTAGGAAGTTGAGATCTTGTCTGAGCCAGAAATGCATCAACCCAGGCTGCAAACAGTGGCTACAGCTGTTCTCCAGAGGACATGTCCTTGGTATTGAAAAAGAAGGGAGACCGAAAAGACTTCTCCACCACACTTGTGGTTTTGGATATGACACAGACAAGAGGCCCAGCTCCAAACACAAAGGAAAGCCGACACCATATGTGAGCAGAGTGTATGGGAGTGCACGTGTTTTCACTCTTCTATAGGGACTCGGAAAGGGGGAGAGTATATAGCTCAGTGGTAGAGTGTGTGCTTAGCATGCATGAGGTCCTAGGTTCAATCCCCAGTACCTCCATTAAAATCAACAAACCTAATTACACCCCCCCCAACAAAAGTAAACAAACAAATAAGTAAAATATTTTTTAAAAAAAGAATGATGCAGCTAAAAACTGCTCCAAATAAATAAAACAAGACTGGCTACAGTTGCTAACTGTAGAGGTTGGGTGGTTGATATAAAGATGGTCATGACATTATTCCATCGTGTTTGTGTTTGAAGAAAGTGAAGCACGCTGACCACTATTAACAGCTAAGTGCTTTACGCTGGAGACACATGAAGGAAGTGAAATGAGGTTTTCAATTTAATTTTTTTCTTTAACACATAAAGACCACACTCTAAGATAATCCACCTCAACCTTTTTCAAGGAAGGAAAAGGAAGACTCAAGGAAGACTCGGGTTTTCATTAGATTCTCCCAGCTCAAGTCTAAGACCATCACTTAGACTCCAAGGCTGTGGACTGCAAGGGTCTTACTTGGAAGCGCTCATCCGTCTCATTCTCTCCAATCTGCCGCAGAAGGTCCCCACTGGCTTGTCCGATGCTCCCGGCAGCGGTCAGCACGGTCTGTCGAGGCTACGAACACAGAGAACATCTTAGTGGGAAAGAGGATGCGTTTCCTCCAGACACGGCAATGCGGGAAGAGAAGCCCTGTGGGACAGCCCTCTCCTGCACCTCAGTGAGACTCTCCAAGTATCCGTAGACAAGAGACACACCTGTCCCAGGGGAGTCTGTGCAAGGGAATGCCCAATGGCTCACACACCAGCCATGGCTGGATGATGTGAAATGTTCAATGAATGGGCTTATTCAGCTGGTAGGAAGGTGATACGTGCTTTGTGGAAATTAGGGGACAGACCTGTATCCCCTTGAAGTGTGTTTCTGTCATGTGTTAGTTTCTGAGGTTACATTTAATCAACTACCCTCAGTGCGGGAAGGGAGGCTTCCTACTAAGAGCTCAACTGGTCTCAAAGGTTGAACCGTCGCTCCTGCACCCAGTTCGCCAAATCCAAACTCCACAGCGTGGCAGCATGCCCCATGAGGATGGACGGGACAGCTCAGGAAGCAGCGCCCCATGGGACTCAAAGGCTGCACGGTCTCATCAGAGCCCGAGTGACTGCTCGCCCGCAGGCTCACCTCTCCGGAAGTAGGCTGCACAGCTTTCAGCAAGTCCGACACTGCCCCGGCCAGGGTCCTCGCAGCCCTGAGCAAGTCCTCCCCACTGCCCACCTCGTCGTCCATGAGGGCCGCCAACAGCTTCACGCCCTTGGACATCTCCGTCAGGTTGGAGGAGATGGTGGTGATGGCACAGCCCACAGCTGTGTAGTCGGTGTCCGCAGGGTCACCTGGGACAGAGAAGGACCGTCACCATCAAAGGAGGGTGGTCAAGGCTGGGGAGCGCCCAGGTGGTGACATGGGCAGCAGACTCCCCACCATCCTGCAGGAGGTGGACGTCTCCCCGTCTCCAAGGTGCTGCTCCTCATGGGGCCCTTTCACCCCGAGGCCTCATACACAGAGGTGCTGAGCATGAGCACCTTCAAAATTCCCAAGGAAGTCTCAGCATTTCAGGGCAGTTTTTCAGAAGACCTCTCCAAGGTCAGCAGCTGAGAGAGGTCAGCTCTGCTTCTGAAACCCCCAACACTGCTCAATGAGGCCAAGACCTTTCTTGGCTCTCAATTGACAGTGCGACACCTGGAGTCGTGCTTTGCAGAGACCAGTGCCAGACAAGACAGAAGAAGGCACCTGAGAGCCAGCCATTTTCCGATTGTAAGCTCTCAGAGGGGAGAAACTGGCCTCAATATACCTTGAAGTATGTCCAGCAGCTTGACGAACAAGAAGAGCTAAGTGAGTGCTTTTTACTGATAATACATGATGTGGATAAAAAGGAATGAGATGTTCCCCCATTTCTCCTGGGTCAGGGGGAGAAAATGCTGAAGCATTCCGAGTGCCTAAAAATAGACTCTCCTCTCAGAATAGGAAAATCTGTTGTTTCAATCAAAGAATAAGAACTGTGTAGTTTTTTTAAAAAAAAAAAACAAAAACCACAATACACCACAAATCCCTCAGGGACTTACCGGCTGTGAGGTTAACAACTGAAGCTGTTCCAGCTGTGATGGCATCGACTTGAGAGTGGATTTCGTGTTTGGATTCGTCGACTTTATTCTGAACCCACACCCTAGACGCCTGCAAAACCAGACAACTGCATGACAGGATTACCCAGGAAACCAGAGAAGTCGTGCAGTAAAATGAGACCAGCGTTCTGGCTCCCCTCTTCTTACTGGGCGGGCCCAACAAGGCCCTTAAGTCATCTTGACCCATGTCCCTCACAGGCCTCCTGCTCAGTCATTCAGGCTGCATGGCGTGTGAATTCTCAATGCTTCTTACACTGGTTATGTTTTAGTTAATTTTTAATATCTTGGAGAGAAAAATTCTCTGTGGCTTTCTTTAGGTAAATTCCATTTAAATAAATGAGAATAATTAGTATCTCCAACAACTGTTGCTAATTTCCACCTTGTTTTTTAAGACAATGGCGTTAGAGTTAGGGTGTTTCAGCTCATGAGGGTTCTCTGTCAGTGGAGGAACCGTCTCTGTTTACAGTATGTGTGTCAGGTTGCCTTGTTATGTTTCCTGGTAGGATGTGTTGGGTGGGTGGGGGCATCGTCAAGACCCCTGCCCTGGATCCAGTTCTACCACTAAGAAGTGATGTGGCCTCGGGCAAATTTCATCCAGGTCCTGTGCCTTCCATTTCTTCTACTTTAGAAACTCAGTGGTCTTTTAAAACCTTTCCAGTTCTTATGCTTTATGTTCATTTGATCTATAAACAGCCAAATTTCTAGCATTTCTGATCTTAGCCAATAAAACGATCATTTACACTGAGAATGATAACCCTATGGTAAATTAAGGTGCTTATCTGCTTCCCAAAACATCCTCCAAAAGTTAATCTTGGTTCAGGATATCTCTAGCACTAATTACCTCTTGTAAATTAATTCTTTGGAAATTGGTGAAGCAAGAATATTAAATCCAGATATTTTACAATTCTGTCTCAAGGAGGGAGGGTCACAGCTCACTGGTAGAGCACATGCTTAGCACACAGGAGGGTCCTGGGTTCAATCCCCAGCACCTCCATTAAAAAAAAAAAATTCAGTCTCATCACTGTGCTGGATATGGGAGTCTGCCATATGTATTTCTGCTCTGAAGTTCCCCAAAGCAAAATGTTTAATGACTTCAGATACTCGGGAAGAGTAGCCCTGAGGCTGCGGCACCCTGCAGGTGTACAGGTACCCAAATGAAAACCACACCGTGCAGGGAGAACCTGGAGGCTGGACAAGGCGAGGTTACAAATTAAGTCCTGGTTCTGGTCCGTTTGATGGCCCAGCAGTCTGACGGCAATGGTTTTTTCCACCTCGGCCCCCATCAAAATCACACTGAGAGATGAAAAACCACTGACACTCAGGCCCCACCCCAGTGACACTGATTTGTTTGGTCAGACCTGGACCCTGGGCTTTGTCCTTAAAGCTCCTCCAGTGATTCTAATGTGCAAAAGCAGGGCAGAGGATGACGTGGGAGCCAGTGCTTTGCAGACTTCAGTATGTACACAGAACCGCTGGGAACTTCACTAAAATGCAGATTCTGATTCAGGAGGTTCTGAAGATTCCGTACCTTCCATCAGATCCTAGGAGTTGCCAATGCTGCCGACCTGTGGCTCACGATTTAGGCAGCGAGGGGCTACAATTTCGCACCGCAGCAGCTATAGGAAGGCAGCTAATTACCCTGCCCCACTGAAAAGCTCAACAGTAGTAGCCCAGCGGTTCGCAAAGCGTGAACCAGCAGCCGTACCTGAGAACTTGTTGGAAATACACATTCTCAGGCCCCGCCCCAGACCCACTGAGTCAGAAAAAATGGGAGAGGAACCCAGCAACCTGTTTTAACAAGCCGTCTGGTACAGTCTGAGAACCACTGGTATTAACAACAAAACCAGCTGACACTCACTGGGCTCTTACGATGTGTTAGGCACTTGGCTAAGAAGCCTTGAACATGATTGGATTATCGAGTCTTCACCACAACCCGACTCACGGATGACAAAGTGGAGGCCTACAGAGAGGAAGCTGCCCAGATTGACACAGCCATTGAGCAGGGCACCAACAACAGCCTGCAGCACCTTATGACCCCCTCCCCCTGCAGGTGCACCTACAGAGACTCAATCTCGTGAAAAAATACGGATTTCCACTTCACTGAGCTGGAGACAGAGACTCCCCTAGCTGAGTCCTCCCAGAGCGCATCACCCTGCTTTCTGCCAGGGCATAGACATCGAATGAGAACGACGCACAGTGCTCACCATATCCTGGCCGAGGGGTGGCAGGGAGTCAAGCTCGCTGAGGTCGTCCTGGGCCTGCTGGACGGCGTGCATGCTCGTGTTGATGGTCCCCAGGAGGGCCTGCTGGGCCGAGGTCTACAAGGGCAGGTAGCACAGAGGGTCATCACACACTCCTGGCTGACACAGCCCTCGACGAGTGCAAGGAAACTGAACCTGGGATCAGGATAAAGCGGCCCCGGGGGACATCTCACCAACGGCCCGGACCACCTCCTATTTCAACTGTGGGCCACAAAGAGTTATTGCACTACATTAAAAGAAGATTAAAAGTGGCTGTTTGCAATAGAGAGATTATCATCAGCAGAGTGTGGAGAGCTTAATTAGCTGACAAGGAGGCTCAGAAGGAGTCCCCTGCAGGGGAGCTAAGGGGCTCCAGTCCTTGAGGACTGATGACAGAGGTCTCGTGCACAGGATCACGAGGGTGTCACACCAGAACTCTTCTCGGTAAGTAAGTTAAGGGTTCCATCCAAACCCACAGTCGACAACACGTCTCCAGAGTCAGATCAATGCCGACCTTTCAGGCTCTTCAGCTTGCAAAAAGTTCTTGCCCTGAAGCATGGGTTTCCGGAGCAGACTGAGAGAGGCCCCGAGTCGGGCAGACCAGCACAGCGGAGGGAACCAGTGATCGGCTCAGGGGAAACGTGTGGATGGGAAGCAACCTGTCTCCTTCTAAGGTTCTCTGAGGGGTACCTGGGCCAATGAGCAGGCAGGGGAGCAGATCACAAACCACACGGAAAGGGCACTGGCTCTCGTCCAGCCCTAGAGGACACCTAGGACCCCAGACAGGGCACTGCCAGAGCCACCCATTTAAAAGAAAACACACTGAGAATTAGGCATGGGGACTGCACAGCTGAAGAGCCGGGGTCCAGACAGGAGCTAAAGAGAGTGTGGATGACACACACAACCTGTCACCATGGCTGGTGTCCCCCGCCCCGGAACCAGAGGCAGCACACTGAAGGGCAGGGCAAGTCCCCAGGAAGCCTCACCAGCGGGGGCATGTGGCCCCGGTGCATCTGCCCCACCGTGACCTGCTGCTGCGGGGAGGGCATGCTGCCCACGTTGAAGGTCTCGGGCCCGCTGGAGCCTGAGCGCATCACGGCCGGCAGCGCCACCGAGCCGTGCTCCACCTTTCCGGTCCGATTGAACTGCTGCTGCAGGATGGTGGACCTGTGGGGGACAGACACTTTGGTCACTGTGAGGTGGCCTCTCACATGCAGTGTACTAAGAATCTACCGGGGCCATCAGCGTTCGCTGCCTCATGCTCCGGCAACCAATTTAAAAGAGGCAAATACAGACAGAATCATGAATGAAGTAGCAGCACTAAAATGCTCCGGAGAACCCTGAGATGAATGAATCTTTTTATAATCAGTAACATAACTAACAGCTCCCAGTTTATCTATTTAACAGGTTCATGGTATTATGCTATTCATTGTTCTTGAAAGACACAGAAAATAATGATGCTCCAGGCACAAGTGAATGCTTCGGACACAGCCATCTATTATTTGGTAAATTCTACCTGAAATAGTATTCATTCAACACGGATCTACTGCATGCCTGGTTCTATTCGAAGCACTGGGGACAGAGATCATTCATCTTCAGCTTGAAGGAAGAAGTATGGGAATGAACTTAAAATCTCCCACGGCTGAGCTCTGCTTCCCTAGGTTGAAAGTCACTGACCACAGAGGATGTGTAAAGACCTTCGGAG